GCAGCTAGTGTTTTCATCACTTAAGATAACTTAAGTTTGCTATACTAATGTTAGGCTAGTTGTCTTCAAGGTTTGACCTAGTGTTTCCCAAGGGCACCTAGTAGTGTGAAATGCTCACCTCCCGTTGACTTTCAGACAGTCTTAGGGAATGTGAAGTGGATCAGACATGGCAAATTGTTTTTATGTGATGCATTATATTTTCAGTAAACTTCTACAAATGCACCACCAATTTTTGTGAGCTCCTTATTTTGAGAGGGAATGGAAGGAAGCCACTTAATTGGAGATTACAGGACACAAAGTTACAGTGGACCTCTGGCCTTGTTGCTGTTCGTGTGATCTGGATTGTATCATTCTTTGATGGGGATAAGGATGCTTATCCTTTCAGTTGAAAACCAGACTGTAAAGTGTGCAGTCACTTCTGACAAAACGTTCTTCATGAGAATGGCTGAATACTATACTGTGAACTTTGCTGGCTGCCTTTTATCCAACCCATGTTTTGGGTTCAGACAGTAAACACAAACTCTCAAATGATACTTGACTGATCTATTTATAGGACCCGTTGCTCTTGCTTCCAGGTGTGGCTGAAATGGTTTGTTTTGACTTATCATGAGAAGGACAAGAGGAGAGAGTGTTTTCCACCGAGGATCAGTAATTCTGGATTGGCTTCTCTAGCTACATATAACAGTGAATTTACAGCATCCATTCTCAGAGTGTACAACTTTCTTCCTTTCCTTTTGGCTCTACTTCATTCACCAGCTTTAGAGGTTGTTATAGAAATATTGCTGATATTTGTTTTAACTTTTTAGCTGTCTTTGTAGGGTGGCTTAAGTCCACTGGGTAGGGATGCCCTCAGATGATATATTGTTGTGTATTACTCGTACCGCTGCAGAGTTCAGAAACCCACTCAAGGCGGTTATGCTCTAGGGACAGAACGTGCTTCTCATTTTTGCTCAACAACCCCTTCTAGGATGACTGAAAGACCTTAATTAATGGGCTCTGGAGAGAGTTGATTGCCCCTGGAGGTTGCTGCAATGTTTGGCCTTAAGTAGGGCTATGGGGTTGGGCTCTCCTAAGGCCCCTTTTGTCTCCTAAAAATAAATCAGGCATTATAGATCTGCAAAAAAGAAGCAGGGGCTGTAGGACAGAACAGCTGTTAAAAATAAGTGCCATTGAAGGGGTGGACAGAAAAATAATATATACATTAAAAATTCCTTTAATGTTATTGCAGTCATTGTGGAACTGAGAGTAAAATATTGAGTGGGACGGTAAGGGGTGGAAGAAAGAAGAGAGACCCAAAAATGAAGAGACGTGTTAAAGCATGATATTATCATAGAGTTTGCTAGCAATCAAGAAATTCCAAAATGAAATCTTCTCTCGACCCCAGTCAATAGAAAGTTTTTGTTGACTCTTATCTCCAAGCAACACGGACAAGTGAAATTTAAATCCCTATTGATTCCTGGTTTAAATCAATCCCATGGGTAGAATCCTGGCCTTGTTGAAATCAATGGCAAAACTCCTGCGGGTTTTGGTTAGGTCAGGGTTTGCCCTCTCCCTCTCTTCTCCCCCATTGTTTTTAACATGCCTTGGCCTCTGCAACTCTGAAGTGCACCATACTGTTTGTGCACTTCACTCCTCCTTCACCATGTAAAAAGATATGTGACTTTGCTGAAGGGCAGCATGATGAAAGTAAAATCAGTGATAATGTCCAGCCTGCCTAAACAAAATAGACTAGGACTGTAACAGAATAGCAGCAAGCTTATGTTCCTTTCCTTTTACCTTGAGTGTGCTGGATGGGCCCAGACTTTGTGAAATTAAATAAGTTATAAATTAAATATGAAATGAAAATGTCTCTTTCCAGCTAGAACATAAGGAAAAAAGGCAGTACTAGGCAGCCATTCAACTAATGTGCTGTTATCTGTAATATCTGTGCCGAAGCAGTCAAAAGGCACCCAAGCCTCCATGAATATGAATGAAGAAAATGCAGGGGAGAGCTGGAGTGGTAGCCTAGTGTGAAGAGTGGTTTTTATTTTCCTTTATTTGTCCACTAGACATTTAAAACCTGTTTTATACATTTTCAGTTGTCTTTCAGTCCTGTTGCATAAATGAAATGTTTTCAAGCCCGTGCCAGGATATAAAACAGTATCACATTTTAAATACACAAGGGGACCCAAAATATTACAGTTATATTAGGTGTGTACTGGTATCACTGAAATGCAGCCATTTCTGCAGAAGAGGTTGGAAATCAGCCAATGTTTAGGTTGCTACTCAGCCAACGGTTGGTGGAAAAGACACTTTGCAGACACGCTAGAGCAAATGCCTGCTTTTTAAGAAAAAACACTATGGGATCTTTAAGGTTCATGTCAATCAGGCAGGACTTCAGCTTAGCTAAAATTGTTATTGCCAAAAACAGAGAGTTCTTGAGCCAAATTGTTAATAGAGACAGAGGAGAGAGAAACTTGTAGGGACTTAAGTAACTTACCAGTACTTAACAGCGGTGGATGATGCAAATTGTTGAGCCTAAAAAATAGACAACAAAACCCAATCAAACAGCTGAACAAAGTTTTCATTTACACTGTCCTAATTTCATTTAAATGTGTCTGCTGCTTTAGTTGGAATAGTTCAGCTTGATTGGGTTTATCTAGACCAGTGGTACTCAACTTTTCTGGACTTGAGTGAAACCCAATTTCAAAAACTATTGAATATGTTGCAGTGCATACATCTTTGCAGAGGGGCCAGGCAGTGGGGGTGATGGATCAGAAGGTAGGGACAAGCCTGAGCTTGTACTTATCTGCATAACTTACCTGCTTATCTTGTCATGCCTCACTTATCTCCTCACACTTTGGGGCACCCTTCAAAGGATCTAGTGGCACCAGTGGTTGAGAATCACTTGTATGGACAAATGGTGAGGATAATAAAGTTTGAAACTATGATGTGATTTTTAATATTTATTAGGCCTGTGCAAAGCAACTAGTATTCGCTTCGGATTTGACCAGTTCAGGGGACAGTGATTCAATTCGGTGATTGGAATCACTGTCCCAAATCGATTTGGCCGAATCTCCGAATCAGCCAGGTCCATCCCCCCCAGCCCGGCAGTCCCAGCTCCTGGCACTTGCAGGGGAAAAAAAAAACGCCCTGACTCAGCAGGTGCTGCCGGGCGGAGGGGTGATCGTTGCTGCCCCCATGCTGCATGGGAGGGCTCTGCCATGAGCCCCTGACCCCCATTCCCAACCCCACCCCCC